GTTTTTTTTTTTTTTTGCTCTGCCACCTCCCGTCACCCTAACGTAGGGTGACCAGACAGCAAATGTGAAAAATTGGGACGGGGGCAGGGGGTAATAGGAGCCTATATAAGAAAAAGACCCAAAAATTGGGACTGTCCCTATAAAATCGGGACATGTGGTCACCCTAGAACCACAAGCTATAGATGCCAAAGATTATGAAATGTCTGTTCATCTTCACTCTGTAAACAGATTACAAAATATGTAGCATTTTCTTGATCCACTAGGTGGCAAAAAGGGTATGGCTATCCCTGGCAGAGTTCAGTGTGAGATGAATCCAGTGAAAATGAATCATCATCATGAAAAGCAGACCAGCTACAGTCCAGCCAGTGTGATATAAAGATGTCACAAATCTCAGAGGGAATAGTTCATCAGGGCTTTCTCAAAATGCATGTTAGGTGTTACTTAAGCAAATATTTTTCCTCTGATGTCAACTCTAAATGTAACAAACAGACAAAAAAAACAAATGAACAACCGCTATCTCACTGCATTAATGCAATATTAAGGTTGTACATTTGGAGCCAGGAAGTGCAGAAATTAAGGTTCCCACAACAGTGTTAACCTGGTTCTATGGCTGATTCTGTATGTTATCATATATATTTTCCACCATAATAGAAAACTGTGCTTAACCAGAAAAAAAGGCTCAGTTTTTGCAATGTGCTGAAGTTAGTGTTGCTGGAGGGAAAAAAAAAACCTTGCATAAATTGCATCTTAACTGGCCTTTTATACTGCTAAAAGGCTGAGGCAACATCTTTAATAGAATTGACTATTCATAAAACGAAAAACTCCTACTGGCAAGACACCAGCATGAAAATGAGCAAGTTACATGTCTAGCTCTTTTATGCAGGCATAGCTCTAGGAGAATGTATTAGAGGATACACATTTAAAAATCAGTCACGATAAAATCTGGACAATAACTTGTCACAAACAATACTAGATCCAGATGGAAATTCCTTGCCTGCAGTAATGAATCAAGAAAGTCAATTCTTTATTTATTAAAATCATTACCTACAAATACAATAGATCAGCACTTTTATCCCGGTTTCTGTTTCTGTCTAGCTTTTTGTAATGTGTCCATCACCATAGTATCTAGGTGCCAGTTTACCGAAAGTTACTGAGGCAAATTGAGTGTGCTTTCTTCTAACATCCTCACTTTTAAATTAAGGCCCTTGCATTTTGAACCCTATTCCAGTTTATTCTGATAAATTATTTAATTTAATAACCCTTCTAATAGTTTTTCATTTCACTTTATCAAAATGAAATGTGAGGAGTTCGGTTAGAATGATTGTGGGTTTTTTCCTCACAGCAAACATTTTTAAAGCCTACCAGCTCTACTGATTGCCCTTTACTTTCCCTCTCCAGGACAATAATAGCTTTGTTCTGAAAGGTGCCCAAAGTAGTGCTCTGTCCTGGTGACATGCCTCTGCCAGGGCAATCCTAACCTTTCTCTGAAGAGTGCTTGAACTAATGCTCCGTCCTGGGGTGACTCCATATCTCCTCCTCCACTTGCATGTTGTGGACAGCCCTGGACCCTGCTCTCTGGGGAGTACCAGAGTGCTTCCCTTACTCAGGGAGAAGAGTGTCTTCTCTGAAGGTTAATGACCACTTGTTTGTGAACATTTCAGAGACCCTGTGCTCTCAACATACCCTCCTGGAGGCTCAGCATGAAGCTGTGATGAGCATGGAAGATTCAAACCAGGTAATGACCAAGCAGCCAGACTGAACAAAACCTAAAATAGGTTGAGGACATGACCTTAAACTGTTTCCCATAAGCTGTTGAGTCTTCTTCTAACAATCCTCTTTGCTAGGTTATTATTAGCCGGATTAATGTGGAAATGGCCTCTAAATACAGCTTGTACTTGGCTGGAAAGCAAACCCCATTCCTGTTTACTAGTTATGTGGGATTTTTTGAGCCCCCTTCATCCATTGTCAAACCTCCCCAGTCCACACAACTGCTCCCTGTTCTGCCACATTTCCATTCTGCGGTGTCCTGTGTCCAGTTGATATCCAGTTGATCTAGGTCCTAGGGAGCACCACTCTAAAGGTTTAACTTTGTGTTACAGGTTGCATTTCAGCCCCATGCACTCCCATTGCCTTATAAGTGATCTCTCATAGAAGAGAAAACAGTGATCCTTTGTCAAGCAGGAGCAGGGGATTAGTAGAATATTTTTGTCCCTGTTGTTTAGAGCAGGGAGATGGAACCTTTGCACAGTCCATTCGATGGTGAACAGCTATGGTATGATGACCTTAAAAACAACCTATAGATGAGGTCAAGAGTAGTAGTATTAGGGGACCACCTGTTGCCTCACTCCATGCTGGATAGACTGGCTGATGGGGGGGGAGGGGTCTCTGCCCCCAAATACCTGCATTAAGAATTTAGCTGAAAGCAAGGTCGGGGCTCTTTCCAAAGCACCGTCCTCCATTCCAACCAGTTAGCAGGGGTGCAGTGGTGATGGTGTAATATCACCGCCCACCCAGCACACCCGTCTCCTGTTGGCTTGAAAGAGTGAGTGGCATGGGGCTCACAGCCTCTAAGCTATCAGGTTATTCCTCTGGTTATGTTTGTGTTTTAGATGACTGTTCACATTTTGCCACTGTCTAACTCTTTATTAGTCATTGATTTAAAAGCAAGGGGGAGTTTGTCCCATTTCAGGATGTACCAAAGCCACTTTATTTGGTTCTTTTTACTACTAATGGTCACCCTGCGCAAGAAGCTACAGATTAGATGGGGCCCAGTGCTGGGAGTGGGGAGGGCCATTGCCATTTAAGCATCTTTTATCAAGTGTTTATTTTAGACTGAGATTTGTATGATTATGAATCCAACCCAGGGGGAGGCTGGACTCATGCTCAGATCTAATCTGAATTGGACAGCCATCCTCTTCCCGGTTTGTATAAATATGGGTGACATTGCCACTCATGAAGGCAAAAGCAGTCTTGCACTTTGGGTTGGAGATCGTGCCTAATGGAGCAGTCTGTGATCCTGAATGACTCCCCAGTGGCCTGTATTGCTATTGTATGGTCTGTACATGATGGTAACAGACATCAGTTTTGTTCCCAAAGCTTTTCAGTGTCTCTGCGTTGCTTTTGAGAGTGATTGTTGAGAGGTTTGCTTAGGGCTACTGCTGCTATAAAATAATACACAGCTACATATTTCTCTACCTCCCTGCTCTGATGGGAAGCTGTAATACTTAATTGACTGGTATTGCTGGAACTTGCTTAAATTTAACTTCAGCCTCATTTCTGCTCTGCTAGGTTTGTTTGAATACGAAGTGTGCTGTTTCCTTATGCCCCCTGATTTGCATTATTTTTGTCGAGGGGGCACCCTAGCTTTGCTAATGTGCCTCATTTCTGAGCCACAGACCCTTGCTATTCTAGTCTTGGTTTGCTTCTGCACAAATTACCAGCATGGCCAAATGTCTGTGGTGGTTTGTGATGTTGGCCAGTGTGTACCGGGAATTAAGATCTGAGACTTAAGATCACAGAATTCTTTTTAAGTCTGTGTCAATCCATATGTGAACCTCTTTTTTAGAGATGAAAGGCCTAATGCACTGAGTCTTACAAAACTAGATCCCTGTCTGAATGTCACCAAGAGATCAGCTAATTTCCTGGGTTTTAGTAGGAAGTTCTGAGGAGGAAGGAGAGTCTGTCCCTTCTGTGAGCAGCACATTCTACTCTTTCTTTCCACAATATGCTCCGCCTTCTGCACTTCTCGGGTCCTGTCACTTCCGGCTAAAAAGCAGAAGAAGAAAAGTGGCATAAAGCAGCAACAATTGCCAGTGACAGAGTTTCTGGAGAGTATGGGCTTGTCATGCTGTCTGAAGTGGCTCTCAATCTTTATTTCGTGCTCCCATGCTTTGTCATCCGCCAGGATATGCATCCAGACCATTTCTGCTGTAGCAACATCTGGGGCATGGGGAGGCTGAGTCCCAGCCCTCTGGTCAAAGTCCATCAGCAAAGCTCCTGGTTCCTGATTTGAGGTTTTCTTTCCAAAGGATAAACCACTTTTATTAGTAAGAAAAGAAATTAGAGTTATTGAGAGGTTAAAGCAGGTAAAATACATTAACAGGTGAGTCAGTTAGTAAGTCCAAAATGATGATAGAGATGTAGTGATCTGCTGGTTTTCCAAAAGTTCCTCGGGGTTGCCCAGGGTAATTCTGGGGATCTCTGTCTACTTGTTCAGTAGTCCGCCCTGTTAGAATCCCAAACAGTTCAGAGATACAGGATCAATCCTTGGATCCATTCTTATAGCTGCTTTCTGTGGAAAGCAATCTGGCAAATGTTTTCATCACAACATGGGCTCTTCTTTTGTTGATTAAATGCAAACAGAATCTGTGAACTTTCATTGTCGAACACAACAACCCATGCTCCGCAGTTAGCAATCTTTTACATTTCCAAGACTCCAATCTTGTGCAATGGGTAAACGGTAATATAAACGCAATGTGATAGCCAGAAACAATCTTTTGTTATTTTTCAGTAAGTTTACACATCCAGTACATTTACATCTTAACACTAACACACACTTCAATCTAGGGTTATTTAATTACCGGGTATACATAATGTAATACGATAGTAAACAACAGGTTATAGGTAAGTGAAGACAATAACATTAACATTTCTTCTGTTTGCCAGAAGCTGGGAATGGGCAACAGGGGATGGATCACTTGATATTACCTGTTCTGTTCATTTGCTCTGGGGCATTGGCCACTGTTGGAAGACAGGATACTGGGGCTAGATGGATCTTTGGTCTGACCCAATATGACCGTACTTATATTCTTATGTTCTTTGATATGCACACACAAGTGAATTGCTCCACATATACCAGGACACTTAACATTTCTTCGATATTCACCCATAAGTGAATTAATCTCTGGCTTTGATCTGAGTTGGTCTGTTAACGTCACAGGATGCTCTGCCTGCTGGGAAAGGCCCTCACCTGGTGTGTCGAAGGAAAATGATGGAAGGATAGGAAAATGGAGTTGCTCCTTTTTGGAGAAGAGAAGGAATGTGGGGGTCACATATAGGGTGTGGTGGGGGAGGTGCTTAGGATGTTGATATTTCTTGGTGCCCTAAGGGTTAACTTGATAGATCACTGAGATCTGCATTCAGGCTTTTATCTAGTATCTTATGCAATGTTTTGTATCTCCATTAGGCTGCAGATGTAGGTCTTAAAGTAGCAGGATTCAGAGTGGTCAGACAGTGTGCCAGGCAGCTAAAACAGCTGAGTCCAAGGGTGATGATTACAGCTCTGAACCAACCAACCAATCTTTGTTTTCCAATAGACTGACAGCACTGGAACTGATTCCAAGTTACTGGACTTGCTGACTCAAGAAGGACCATCCTGCTCTGGATACTACTCACCTGGGCCTGATGGTAACGTCACAGAATTGGAGAAGTTAGGGAGACTGCACAGCTGGGGAGAGGCTATGAGGCTTCATGGAAGGGTCTGAAGTGATTCAGGGAGAGGGACTTTGAGGTCAGGTTCTGAAGCTGTGCAGAAAGAGGAAGGTTCTGATACTATACATGGGGAGACAGAGGGAGTAAATCTGAGGTGGCACAGTGGGGAGGAAGATTTTTATATTGGGTTATGAGGTGGCCTCTGAGATAAGAAGGAGAGAGAAGGGTTGGTAGGATCAGAGTCTGAGGTAGTATATAGGAAAGGTGCGAGGCAGCATTGTCCAGGGGATAGGACACTGGGCTGGGAGTCAGGAGATCTTCATTCTGTTCCTTGCTCTGTCACTAACCTGCTGTGTGACCATGGGCAAGTCACTTCCCCTCTTTGTGCCTCTGTTTTCCCTCCTTTGTCCATCGTGTCTAGTAAGATTCTTGCATACAAATAAAACAATGTTAAAAATGTTATTTAGGTTGCAAAGTCAAGCTCTTGAAATTTAGGAAATACCAGATTTAGTTTTTCTTGAATCTGTCCACTTGTGTGTCCTGCACTGAATGAAGCAGGTGTCCTGTGGAAAAAATAGCATGTGATTATGTAAGTAAAGACTGTATCATAATGCACATGCAAAGGGGGGCAGAATTAAAACGCATGGGAAATCATAATTCTGGCATTTGCTAACATTCAAGAGCTTGACTTGCCACCTCAGTGTTCTTTTAACATAATTTTTTGTTTTTAATTTTCTAGGAGTATTTTTAAAGCAAAAGGTAAAAACTAATTATGTTATGTGCTACCGCTTGAACTTCAGGACTAACTATGTTAGCTGGCAGCAAGAGAAGGCTGTTATTGCAGAGAGGGGAATGGACTTGCTGGATCCTGGTGGGGGAGCCTGCCCTGGTTGCCCTTCTCTTCCCCCTTTCTCCAACTCACTCCATCCCCATGAGTTAAGGAAGGTCCTGCACCATGTGGTGCCCCAGTCAAAGGGATAGGCTGATAGGTCTGGAGGGTGAGGGGAGCCTGCCCTCGGGCACCACTGTCTATCTCTCTTCTCCCCTCACTTCCTGAGGACTTGAGGAAGCTCCAGCCCCATGTGTCTGGATCAATTTCCGTCTGCTCACTGGCTTGCTGTGGATCTGGATTTTCTGCTGGTGACATGCATGTATTTTGTCACTAGGTCATTCAGCAACACTAGTGAATAATGAACCACAATCTCCTCAGCCATCTGAAGATACCATGGCTCTAACCCAGGTATGACCTTGGCAATATAGGTTCTATCACAAAGTTAGACAAGTCTATAGTCTAGGTAATGTCCAATCTAGTTTGAAAAGGCTCAAATTATAGAGCTTCCACAATCATACAACCTGATGGTGCTATTATGGTGCTGAGCAAGGCTCTATGTATTTAGCTCTCTTTAATCATTCCTTGTTAATCAGTCCCTTCCTCCAGCTTGACAGCAGCACAGCCATTGCAACACCAGAATATTAATGTTATGGGGAATTAGCATAAATACGAGGGGGGGGGGGATAGGTGACCTCCACCCTTTGCTCTGAGGAGGATTCATTGCCCCCCTATCTCCAGAAGAGAGTGAGACCACAAGGAATGCTCCTTGAATAAGAGCAAATACCTTGGTCCAGATGTCCTGTCTAGCCCTCTGATCCTGGCATCAGACACAGAATAGGGAACAACCCTCTTGTTTTAGAGCCCTATAAACAGGCTCAGTGGGGACCAAACCCCTATCTGGCTTACAGCCCAGCAACAGAAGTGGCAGAGGATGCTAAAATGGTTAAGGATTTGACGCTGTGTGTGAACAAGACCTCCCACAGGAGTCTGGTTACATTTCTGGTCTGAAGTTCCTGTCGTGCTGATCTTACCCTTCTTCCCACACCTAATCCCAATGTGGCAATTCCTTGATGCCTGCACTGAAGATGTGAGACTGGGTGTGCTGACCTTTTCCCTGCACTGGCAGGGAAAGAATGAACCCTTTTGCCCTTGGAATGGCAGCAGCTGCTTGAAATCACTGTAAAAGACAATTAGGAAGGGTTATGTAACTGGTCAAATAATCAAGGCAGGAAATAAAAAGTAGGTTCCTCTCATATAGTACGGTTAAACCAGAAGCTGGGAAAGACCTGGTGTAGATCTCCCCATAAAAACTCTGTTTGAAGTGGTACCAGGAGAGCTCCCTACCCAGAGGGATCTGGGACAGGAGCCCAGGAAGATACTTGTGGAAGAGGCCTACAGGGAGACCTGGGAGAGGCACAGGAAGAGAAGAACACTTTAGAGTCTGTCTCTAGAGAAACTATGGGCATCTGAGAACTAGCAGGTGAGCCTATGGCAGGGCGCTCAGAGCCAATCCCTGAAGCTCTGACATGGGTAATTGGGAAGGATATAAAGGGACCTGAAGAGAACTGCTGTAAAGGTCCTTGAATACCTTTATGTTCCAATAAACAGTCCAAGAAATGGGAACCTTAGCTGCAACATGTAAAGTGTGTACACTTTATGGTATCAGCAAAGTGGGAAAATGAGGCAGAGGCATCCAGATGCAGGGTCAGAGTAAGTCAACCCTTTCATGGGGTTCAAGAGAATTGTGGTTTATTTGAGACTAGCTCTTTTTTCTTGTTCTAGACCGGTACAGACGAAAACCCCAGAAGCAGCAGCGGGCAGTCTGCTGAAGAAAGTGGCCCAGCTGGTATTCTGGAGTATCTTTCTGCAGCGAAACATAAAGAGCTGTCAGTCTTGCTCCTGGAATTGAGGGAAGCTCAAGAGGAGATAACATTTCTGAAGGGACAGCTCCTGGACCCAGGAAGCCAAACACCTGCAATGAACTGGGCAGAGGAAGAAATAAACCTTATGGGAGGAAGATTCCAGATAAGATTCCTCGAGGGAGAAGGACAAAAGACCTCATCTATCCAGAGTGAATTGAGCAGCTGCTCGCTGACAGTGGAGGAAGTGCAGAAAACCTCTGTGCTTCAGGAAGAGACAGACAGCTTCCCAGGAGTACCCCTGGAGCACATCACCCACAGTGGAGGGGAAATGGAGGCAGTGCAAGGGCTTAGAGGAGGGCTCTCTGCAGCAACTACAGAGCTTGGTCTTTCTCAGCCTCAGGAGCTGACACAGTTGCAAATAAAAATTATGGAGCTGCAAACAAGTCTGCAGAAATCAGAGGAATTGTATAAGAAAGACTCAGAAGAGAAAGTGGCAGAAATAAATAGGCTAACCCAGCTGGCTGAGGAATGCAAGAAAAATGCAGAGAACTCTAACAGTGCATTGCATGTTCTGACTGAAGAGAGAGATCAGCTCCTGTCTCAGATGAAGGAGCTTTGTACCATAACAGAACTAAAGGAGCAAGTGAAGCAGCTTGAGGGAAGTCTAATGGATTCAGAAAAGCAGAGGCTATCTGACTATGAAAGCAGAACTATACAGCACAGTCTACTGAAAGAACAAATCCAGAGCCTGAAAAATGAATATAAATCCAAAGAGATAAAAATTGAAGCTTTGCAAAAGGACCTGGATGAGGCACAGCTTCAGCTTTCGAAACAGGATGCTCTAGCAAAAAGTCTGAGAAACCAGCTCCAGAAAACGGAGTGTGAAGTGCTTGATCTGCAAGAACATCTGAGGAAGAACACAGTCAAGATAGAGGAGCTTACCCAAGACATTGTCTCAAAGGAGCTTGACACAGCAAGGCTAGAACAGCTTCTTGCTGAACGGACTGGGGATAATGAGAACCTCCAGCAAGCTTTACTGGAGAGGGATCAGCAGGTGACTGAAATCAGCATCACAATGTCTGAGAAAATAGGCCAGCTGAATGAAGAGAAATTTGCTCTGGGGTGTGAGCTAAATGGCCTTAAAGAGCAGATGAGCTTATTGCTGAAAACTGAGGAGATAAGAGACCAGCAGATGGGACAGACGGGAGAAGCAGAAGACTTGTGTCTGAAATGCAAGGGGTCTGAGCAGCAGAGTGAGATGGTGGCGGCAGTGTGTAAGGAGAGAGAGGTGCTAGGAAGTGAACTGCAGCATCTCAAAAAAGAAAATGAGCAAGTGAAGCGAAAGCTGCAGGCAGCTCTCATCAACAGGAAGGAACTTCTGAAGAAGGTCAACAAGCTAGAGAATGAGCTGGTGCAAGTGAGAGGGACGTTTGGGGCAGAAGCTCAGAAAGCTGAAGTGGAAGAAACTACAGCAAGTGGCCTAAATGCAGAGGGAGACGTGACTCCTGAAAGCCAAGCCAGGGAGATGTCTCTCATGCAGTTGCTTTCTGAAAGGGAAGCTGAGCTGCAGAGCATCCAGAAGGACTTGCTGGAGAAGGAAGCAGCTGAAGCACAGTTGCAGGCTCTGATTGAGGAGATGAAGAAAAGTTTGCAGGATAAGACCAACCTAATTGATTCGAAGGCTGAAATTATGGAAAGCCAGTCAGCCATCCAGAAACTTATCACAGCCAATAAGTGCTTAGAAGGTTCTGACCCAGCTGCTTCTAAAGAGGATGAGGTGAACAGTCCAGCTGCTGCAGGGTTTGAAGAACATAAGTCTGCCCTGAAAGAGAGAATCTCAGCCCTTGAACAAGAAAAAGAGCAACTTAAAAAGAAGCTTCAGGAAGCACTGACTTCCCGTAAGGACACTATAAAGAAGGCTCAAGAAAAAGATCGTCACCACAGAGAGCAGCTGAAACAGCAGAAGGATGATTACAATCTCCTACAAGAACAGTTTGGTAAGCAAAGCAAAGAGAAGGAAAGCATCCAAGATCAGCTCAGGCAACTCCAAGCACAGAGAGAGTGTACAGAGAGCCATTCTCTGCCAGGCATCCATTTCCAAAGGTCAGCTGAGTCTGTACTTGATGTAACACAAGAGCTTGCAGGAAATATACAGCATTCTGGCTGGAACCAAGGCTGGATTGAGTCTTCATGCTTGGAAGTAGAAAATACTAAAACAAATAACCTCTTACAGGAGACAGATGTTTCTGTGGAAGAGTTTAAGGCGGAGCTCAAGAATCTGCAGACCAAGAAAGATGAACTAGAATTCAAAGTCAGTCATTTGGAAAGTGATCTTGCTTGCAAATCAGAAGCAGTCATTCAGCTACAAGAGCACATAGCACAATTGCTCTCAGAGATGGAAGGTCTGAAGAGCACCTGTCACCAGACGGAAGCCCATGCACCAAGTCTTCAGGCAGAACTGGAAAAAAGTCAAGCAGAGATTTCCAGACAGGACAATCTGAAGGCACTTAAACAAGAAGTAGAGGAGCTAAAAAATCTCATGAGCAAAAAGGATGAAGAAATTGAACTCTTAAACTTGCAGCTAAGGGAGAAAAGCAACGCTCTTACTCATGTACAGAGAGATTTCCTGGAAAAAGAAGACTTGATCAAGACTCTGCACAGTCAACTGGAAAAACAAACTAGTATGCACGAGGAACAAAGAAAGCGACTGAAAGCTGAGCTTCTTGAAGTCCAGCAGAGACCAGATGAGGGGGCTGAAGAAGCCAAATCTAAGAACCAAATGCAGAGAAAGCTGCAGGCTGCACTCATCTCTAGAAAAGAGGCAATTAAAGCGAGCAAGACTCTAAAAGAGGAGCTGGCTACTGCCAAAATGACTATAGAAAATCTCTCTCTGAGGTTGGCAGATATGGAGAGCCAGGTTTGTGATTGGGATAGGGAAAAAGATGCATTATCAGAAAAGTTAGTAGGTGTCACTGAAGAGAGAGAGAAACTCATTGCAGAAGTTGACAAGGCTTTAATGGAAAATCAGAACCTTGATAGCTCTTGTGAAAACCTGAAGCTGGCTCTAGAGGGGATCACTCAAGAGAAGGAGAAGCTAGAGAAGGAGATTGAATCCTTGAAATGTTCTCAGGCTGCTGAGAGTTCTGAGTGGCAAGAGAAATATAAGGAGCTGCAGAAAGAATATGAAACCCTCTTGCAGTCCTATGAGAATGTAAGTAATGAGGCTGAGCGAATTCATCGTGTTCTGGAAACTATCAGGCAGGAAAAGCAAGACATTTTCAGCAAGTTGAAAGGTGCTGAGGCTAAGAAAAGAGAAGTAGATAAGCAGCTGCAGGAGGCTGAGCAGGAGATGGAGGGAATGAAAGAAAAAATGAGGAAGTTTGCAAAATCCAAGCAACAAAAGATCCTGGAACTGGAGGAGGAGAACGAACGGCTGAGAGCAGAGTTGCACCCTATAGAGGGTGACCTAAACAGGGATGGAGATATGGCTCTCTTGACAAGCACTAGTCTTAGAGAGGCACTAGAGAGCTCTAGGAGGGACTGCCAATCTCTTTCCATTCAACTTGAAGCATTAATGGCTGAAAAGGGTTCTCTTAGTCAAGAAGTTGAAGTCTTAAAGCACCAATTACAGTGCACAGAATCCAAGCTGAAGGAAAACCTAGAGGCAGCAGCCAAGCATGGTGTCCAAAAAACTATAGTGGAAGGAGCAAATCAAGCTATTCCCACAGCAGCTTTACCTCTAGAAGTGACTGACAATCAAGTGGATTTAGGGCCCTGCGCAAAGTCTCCAGAGCCTCTTAGAGCAGGCATTGTAACTGAGGCAGAAGAGAAATTAAATGAAGGTAGCAGCTCACATGATGAAATTAATACTTACTTACAGCAAATAGCTCAGCTCACAGAGCAAATCACAGAACTGGAGGAAAATAGAATGGCTGCAGAAGAACAAGTAGGCAGCATCTGCAGGAGTGTTGAAACCTTAGGAGAGGAGAAGAAGGCCTTAGAGAGCCAAGTGGCAGCAAAAGTCCATGAACTGAACACCCTTCAGGAAACAGTAGCCAAGATGGAACTAACTAACAGACAAATCGAAGAACAACTTGTCAGAATGACAAAGCTGAAGGAAACGCTGGAGGCAGAGAAGGATGACTTGGAGGAAAGGCTCATGAATCAGCTAGCAGAACTTAACGGAAGTATTGGAAACTATCAACAAGACATGGTTGACCTCCAAACCAAAAATGAGCAACTGAAATCTGAGCTCCAGAGCTTGCAAAGAATGGTAAGTGAGCTGGAGGAGGAGAAGCGGCAGCTGGCGAGAGAGAAAACTGAGGCAGAGGCAGAGACACAGAAGGAATATGCAGAAAAACTTAAATGTGCTCGGAAGGGAGATGGCAGCAGAAGTCATGCAAAAGAGCTTCAGGAGCTGCTGAAACAGAAACAGCAGGAGGTGAAGCAGTTGCAGAAGGACTGTATTAAAAGCCAGGAGAAGATCAGTAGTCTAGAGAGAACTATTAAAGCTCTGCAGTTTGTTCAAAGTGAGTCTCAAAAGGAGCTTGCAGCAGCCAAAGAGAACTTAGCCAAAGCATGTGAAGACACCAAGAAAGCACAAGCAGAGCTGGCTTCCTGCAGAATATTACTGGATGATACTCAGAGTGAGACAGCAAGGGTTTTAGCAGAGAGTCTCAAAGTGAAAGAGGAGCTGCAGGCAGGCAAAGAGCATGTTAAAATTCAAATGAAGAGAAAGGATGAAGATTTTGAGAGAAGACTGGAACAAGAAAAAGACAAGCACTCAAAGGAGATAAATAACATGGAGGAAAAGCTGGCATCTTTGCAGAGAGAGAGAGATTATATGGAAGGGACTGTCAGAGACATTCAAGACTCCTTGCACAGAAGGGACCAAGAAGCCAAGCAGCTACAAGGCAGCCTTAACAAAAACCTGGCCCAGCTTGCAGCCTTCACCAGAAGCATGACTTCCCTCCAGGATGACAGGGATCGAGTGATAGATGAGTCCAAAAAATGGGAGAAGAAGTTCACTGAGGCTATTCAAAAGAAGGAAGAGGAGATCCATGCTAGAGAGGAGACCTGCACAGTTCTAAAGGATCAGATGAGGCAGATGTCCATGCATATAGAGGAGCTACAGATTCATGTATCCAGGTAAAGAGAAGATGAAAGTGAGTGGTGGTTACTTTGGTGTTCTGGTCTTTCCTTCCATCTCTCATGTCTAAGTTATCAGCAGATACTCCTTTTTAAACCAGATTGTAATTTATATTCACCTTAACAGACTGTAGCCAGCAGGGAAGCATCTGCAGTCTCTCTCTACTAACATGAAACTTTAAAATAAGTTCTGCTACATAGTGTTAATATTTTTTGAATTTACTAAGATAGCAAGTAAATTATGCCTTCAAGAATTCAACAATTCCAATTTGATCCAAAATTTAGATTTTTTTTTTTTTTTTTTGGGTGGCTGGATTGCAGAGTCAAAGGACAATAGAAATGTACCATGATGTTAAAAATTCCAGTAGAAAATTGTTTAGAAACAAATAAACCTTTCTCTGTAGTATTTGCAACCCAAACACTGTAGCAGTGAGAACTTGAAAGAGAAATTCATGACATACAAATATGACTGTAATTTAAATGATGTTCCTTAAGATCAGAAAGATGCCGAAAGTTAAATATCTGGCTTAAAATGTGAAGAGTACATGAGAGTTTTTACTGTCTACATTTTAATAATTGATTGTTTCTTAGTAACATTAGTAAAGTTTTATTTCACCAGATAGGATTTTTAAATCGACAGTGTTCTTTTTACAGGGAATAGCACAACTAGGCTTATACAGACTTTTTAAATTTTACATGGGAATAAGCCAATCAGAGGGAGTTTTCTAGCTCATTTTGGAAGGTAAAATGAATTCTAAAACTTTGCTAAATTATTGTAATTAATATTCGAGTGAAACAAGCCTGGGGTTTTCAGGTCAGATAACCTGAGGGCATGAGCCCAAATACGGTGTGCTCACATTAGAAAGTAGTGTTAATTTATAAAGGAATACAATTGTTGATTTCCCCTTCTCTGTCGTCAATCCCAAATTCACCAGCAGAAGTGTTTGCATTTTGGTATTCCCAACATTAGTATTGAAAAGGAACTTGGTGCAGGGATTATAACCTGAGAGTCTGTAAGAGACCAGGAAAAACTTGAACATGAAAACAAGTTAAAAACAGATGGCAAGAGAGAAAAAAATAAGACTACTTTATTCTTGGAAGCAAATCACTGACCGGGCTCAACATTGCTGTTCTGTGGCTGAAGTGGAGACTGGCCAGGTGTACAAGTGGTAAACAACATCTAAAGCAGTCATGTGTTGGCAGCACCTAGATGCAGAGATGATAATATCTACAGTTAATGACTAGTCACTGACAAAGTTTGTTAACCCAGAGTTAAGATTGCCTGGAGGTACTCATGTATTATTTTGGCGAAGCTCTATGACCTATGATATACAGGAGCTCAGACTAGATTATCACAATGGTCCCTTCTGGCCTTGGAATCTATATGTAATTTATTTTATTTTCAAAAATAGTTTGAGCACTTTCTGATTTATCTGCTGTATTCAGATTACATTTCTCCAAAATAAAAAAATAAAAAACCTTAATGGAGTCAGATTTTACCCAAATGTTTACAGTTCATTATCAGGCTTCTGCCAAGGGTGAGTTTCAAACTTCAAAGTCGATAGGATCTGGGAACTTTATGAAACACTGTTTTGTTTTGTTTTTGAGGGGCTCTGTCTTTGAAACCCCTTGCTCACATGCCCCCAGATTTGATTCACTAACTCTACCCTATGCTCCGATGAGACAAATTTCAAGACAACCTGTGTAAGTATGTGGATTTTAGAGCACTTAGAGTCATCCTTGAAACAGGAAGGGCTTCCCATCCTTAGCTATAGCAGAACTGGCACTCTGCTATAACATTATATGAAATTAATCATCAGCACCTGCTTTGCTATATCCAGATGCCCTGCACAGCATAATGCTGAATGGGGAAATCTCTAGGGAGGATGGAGGGAAGTGGGGGGGCTCTACACATCCATCTGCAGCATAGGAGGTTCAGAGAGACGTGAAAGTGGCCCATTCATCTCAGTGAGATGGTCTTTGCTGAAGTAGAATACCCTATAGAGATGAACAGCCTGAAATGATTCATAGATTCCAAGGCCAGAAGGGACCATTGTGATGATATAGTCTGACCTCCTGTATAACATAGGCCATAGAACTTCCCCACTATAATTCTTACATTATATCATTTAGAAAAACATCCTGTCTTGATTTAAAAATTGTCAGTGATGGAGAATCCACCATGATCCTTGGTAAATTGTTCCAATGGTTAATTAGGCTGTTAAAAATTTAAGCCTTATTTCCAGTCTGAATTTGTCTAGCTTCGACTTCCAGCCTCATGTTACACCTTTGTCTGCTACATTGAAGAGCCCATTATTAAATATTTGTTCTCCAGGTAGATACTTATAGACTCTAATTAAGTCACTCCTTAATCTTCTCTTTATTAAGCAAAACAGATATAGCGATTGAGCTCTTTGAGCCTAAGGCGTGTTTCCTAATCCCTTAATCATTCTCGTGGCTCTTCTCTGAACCCTCTCCAATTTGTGATTGCTCTGAGATGTATGAACTGCTCCATTAATGTCAGTGGCTGTTACATTTCCCCTCCCCCCACCTCAGGGCCGGAAAGCCTATGATATGTGTCAGACATGCCTATTCTCAACTCCCTGCCCCATTCTTAGCAGTGGGTTCTTGGTGCATGCTTCCAATGTGCCTGTTCTCAGCTCCCTGGCTAGAGGTGCAGGGCTTCCCCAGATCCTGGCTCACAGGTCAGAGAGAAGGGTCTCAGAGCCCCCATACAGTCACAACACACACCCAAGATCCTGGTCATAGATGCTGGAACTAGGGGTGCTGCCGCACCCCCTGGCTTGAAGTGGTTTCCATCATCTCCAGAGTTTACAATTTGGTTCAATGGCTCTCAGAACCCCTACTATACAAATTGTTCCAGCACCACTGATCTTGGTGCATGCACACACAACAGAGGAGAATGTGAGCTGATAGGCACCCCATCTCTATTCTTCCTCTGCCTCCCTGCCACTCATCCCCATGTCCCCTCCCCAGTGTCTCTCCCCAATTCCTATCCCCTACCCCCATTTGTGGGTGATAGGGGAGAGAGGTGCTCTCATGTGCTCCCATGAGGCGCACCAGACTTTAAGGAAGTCCAAGTAACTGTGGATTTTAGAGTAGTTAGTCAAACTCTAAACCTTAACTCTGGTAGATCTTGCAGTCTACTATAAGGGATACAAATTTGGATATTGGGATATGTTGTAGATTTGTTTGTAATAGTCTACTGTCTGTTTTTCAGGCTGGAACACAACAAACAGGATTGGGAGTCTGAGTCTCAGAGAGTGATTCAGCAGCATCAAAAGATGTCTGACATGCTGCAGGAGGAAAACAAAGGGCTCGTGTCTCAGTTAGAAGAGTATCAGAGACTGTACACAGACTCTCAAAATGAACTGCAGAAGCTGGATGCAGAAATCAAGTGCCTCAGAGACCAGCTTGCTGATTTGCATAACTCCTTCACTAAGTCTGAGGTAGCAAGAGAAGAAATGGAAAGCATGGTCAAGCAACAAGAGGCCAGCATCCAGAACTGTAAATTCAACTGTGAGCAGCTTGAGGCTGACCTGCAGGCCTCCAAGGACCTGACAAACAAGCTGCACAAAGAAATTGGTGCCAAAGATCAGAAGATTATCAGTCTACTGTCTGCCAAGGAGGAAGCAGTCATGACTGTTGTATCTGAGTTACAGCAGCAACACGGTGAAGAGGTTAAAAAGCTGGAGGACAGGCTGGGCAAGAAGGAAGAAGAGAAAGTGGCATTGGAAAATGAGAGAGAGAAAGCACTGGACAAGCTTAATCATCTCATGGAAACAATGAAGCTAACCAGAGAGGAAAGTAAGCAGCAGAAGGCGCAGCTGGCTTCCTTCACCAAATGCATGTCTTCTCTGCAGGATGACAGAGACCGCGTGCTGAGAGACTATAAACAGCTGGAAGAGCGTCATCTTGTTATAATCCTGGAGAAAGACCAGTTGATTCAAGAGGCTGCTGCGGAGAACAACAAGCTCAAAGAGGAGATTCGAAGCTTCCATAGCCGGATGGATGACCTCAACTCTGAAAATGCCAAACTGGATGCAGAACTCGTGCGGTATAGGGAGGACCTGAACCAGGTGATTTCAATAAAGGATTCCCAGCAAAAGCAACTCCTCAAAACACAGCTTCAGCGAATCCAAGTGCTGGAAAATGAAAAGGTCAACATAGAAGGGCATCTGAAGGAGTCTGAGCATGCTGTGGAAGATCTCAGGCAGTGTGTGGAAGCCCTGAAAGAGGACAAACAAAGCATGTCCAAAGAGATTGAGAACATGACATTCTCTCTCTCTCAGATTCAGAGCGAGATGACAGCTTTACGTGAAGGGAGACTCATCGTGGAGCTGGAGACACAATTAAAAGATCGGGAGAAGGAGGTGCAAGAGCTGAGCAGTAAGCTTGCTCTCACACACAAGAGGGTAGCAGAACTAGAGGAGGAACTGGTCCATGTCCAAAGGAATGCAGCCAAGAAGGTGGGAGAGGCTGAGGACAAACTTAAGAATGAACTGAAGCACCTACATCATGATGCAGGGGTAATGCGGAATGAAACTGAAACAGCAGAAGAGAGGGTAGCAGAGCTGGCAAGGGACCTGATGGAAATGGAACAGAAACTTCTTACAGTCACAGAGGAAAACAAAGATCTGAGAGCCCAAATTCAGTCTTTTGGGAAGTCCATGAGCTCTCTCCAGGATAGCTGGGACCAAACCAATGAAGAGCTTCAGGTGCTGGGAAAGAAATACTCTGCAGACTTAGAGAAGCAGCAGTGTCTAGTACAGAGCCTCCAGAAGGAGATGGGTCAATTACAGGAAGAGCAGCACTCCACTGCCAGAGAGAGAGAGACTCTGATGTCTGAATTAACAGCCCTGAAGAACACTGATGATAAAAAAGGCCTGTTATTTCAGCTTGAGGAACTTAACCGGCAGCTCAGAGTCAAAGATGAAGAGCTTTTCCGCTTGTCTTTGGAACTGGAGGAGTCCTCCAGCCAGGTAAAGTCCTTCTCTAGGGCCATGGCAAGCCTGCAGGATGAGAGAGACCGTCTGTTGAGTGAATTGAACAAAGCACATAAGGTGGAGGAAGTGAAGCAGCAGACAGCAGTGAACTCTTCCACCAGCCCTGCAGAAGTGCAGAGCCTGAAGAAGGCATTGTCCTCCTTACAGGATGACAGAGACAGACTGGTAAGTTCTCTTTCCCCCTCTCCCACCTCCAGGAATGTTGGCGGTAAAATTCCTAATGTTTCATTAGGGCTTCTCTTTAGAATTTTCCTTAAAACCCATGAGATCTACGTCTGATATTTGAAATGTAAAAACATACGGCCGCTTCTTGTATACAATTGTTGTGACTCCATTGTTAACTTTAAGATAACTTCCATAATAAACTTGATTTTCAAACACAGACTTATAAAAATTAGAGGTGGGGAAACCTTGTCAACTTGCCCAGCCCATATCCTGAGGGCCAGTTCAGCACATCATAGTTTTTGATTCAATCTAATTTTAGAAGTTCCAAGCAATGCCCCTTTCTTTGGGAAACCATTGCACAACTTCATTCCCCGTCTCCCCAGACCTCAATCTGAATCCCTTGTTTGTCTCATCTACCTGTTTCCTCTTGCTCCAAAGACTGTCACTTTGCATATGTATATGAACTAAGAAGGGAAAATTAAGGCTGAATATCAGGAGTGTCTTCCTGACAGTAAGGTCGTCGTCATCATTTAACATCGAGGCCTAGAGGCACACCATGGGGCCCAACCTGGTTGATGTCTCTAGGCACTATTGCCATACAAATGTTAAATGATAATGATAACCTTACTGTCAGGAAGACTTTTTCCTCATATTCATCCTTAATTTTTGCTTTTTAGTTCATTCAGTTAGTCCAAGTTACAACCCCTGTACCACACTAGATAACTCCTCCCCTTCCTTGGTGTTTACATGTTTGTAGACTGTTCTGTCTCCCCTCAGTTGCTTCTTTGCTGAGCTTCTACCTATGTTGCTCTTTTAATCTTTCCTCTTGATTTAGTTTGTTGTCTTTCTGGTACACGGTGCTACCCAGAATTGAACACATTAGCTGGAGAGTCTGTTACCTCAGTAAGCAGTCTGTGTCCACAGTATGCAGATTCTGGGACTATAATGTGTTACCTGAGGAGGTTGGTTGTCAGAGTCAAATTTCAAAAAAAGACTAATTTTTCCTCTGTAAAATATTTCCTCGGCAAAAGTTACTCAACATTTTTCCAGCAAAGTATTTGGGAATATTTACTTGTCCTGTAAAGGATTGGTCTGTGAAATTCAGAGACTACATTTTATCAGTAGAGTGTAAAATAGAGGACTCAATCTATTCTTAAATTATATCCATAATACTGCCTCATGCAGAGCAGATGTCTTAGCACTACTTTTCACTTACCACAGTGCCTTTCTTGGCAGTGTCCCAAAGTGTTTTGGACACTAGTACAGGGGGTTCCAAAACCCAATCCATGTTTTGTGAATTGTGTTGCTTGTTTTTGTGTACACATCCTTGAAATTTTGCATCTGCCTGTGTATCTCCTTGTTGGATATTCTTAGATGTACGATGATGGATGTGGCATGAATACCTGAATAGAGTAGAACAGAATTAGATAGAAGTTATCACAAGATCCTTTGAACCTTCTGTGCCTTAATTTTGCTTCCAGATCTTTATAGCACGAGGATACAAAAAATTCTCTAAAAGAGCTGGTGTCTCTGCCTATTGGACACTGATCCAGATGCCTTCCCTCACACTTATGGTATGCCCTGGATGAGATTATACAGTAGAACCTCAGAGTTGCAAACACCTCGGGCATGGAGGTTGTTCATAACTCTGAAATGTTTGTAACTCTGAACAAAACGTTATGGTGGTTGTTTCAAAAATTTCAACTGAACATTGACTTAATATAGCTTTGAAACTTTATTATGGAGAAGAAAAATGCTGTTTTTAACTATCTTAATTTAAATGAAACAAGCACAGAAACAGTTTCCTTACTTTGTCATTTTTTTTGGTCTCTGCTGCTGCCTGATTGTGTACTTCCGGTTCCAACTATGGTGTGTGGCTGACTGGTCAGTTCATAACACTGGTGTTTATAACTCTGAGGTTCTACTGTATAAACAGATACTCTAGTCCAGGGTTCTCAACTTTGCTCATAATGTGAGCCACATCTTCAAAGAGTGTCTCTCATGAACTCCCATTCCCATTTACATAACATCCCTATAGCAATAACTTCAAGTGACAGTAGGAAAACGCTTAAATGTATTTTAGCAGAAAACAAGGAAGGGCCAGTATCATATATACACACTTGTAAAGTTGTAGCCAGTTATATATAAAAAACTTGATGCTTTTTTTAAAGAAAAAGTTTCACAAAGCTGAAAACAACTACGGGGAAGAATAATTTAAACAAAAATCTTATGATAGTTAGGAATTGTTTAAGAACACTTTACTAGATACACAAAAATCTACAACTGAGAAAGAAGGCCATGCTGGTTAAAAGACCAGCGTGGCTTAGAAGGGAGGTGAAGGCCACTCTATCTATCTATCTATCTATCTATATATAAAATGGGAAAGTTAATTGTTGTTAATATAAATAAGTTAGAAATTGTATAAAAAAAAAAAAAAAAAATGATAAAGGAAGTGTACAGGATTGGGCCCTACCTTACAGCGCTCTCTTCTGGCTGGACTCATGCTTGTGCTAGCTGAACCCACTCCCTCCCTGGGGAAATTCTGCCTGGGCCCTCTCACAGAATCCAGAGAAGGTAGTTTCTGGGCAGATTAATTACTGTGGGTTTTATTTTAAGACTTCTTAGTGGAAATAGGATCAAAGCTTCAGTGGTTCAACCTGTACAGACTTTGAAGAGAAAGTCCCTTTCTCCAAGTCTGTCCCTCATCCCATGAGTTCATCAACCCAACAATTCCTGGTTCTTACCTCAGAGACGTTTTGTTAACAGGATTTTCCCCAATCTCCCTTCTGTCCATTGGTTTCTTGGCACCACTCCTCCCAGCAATTGCTCCAGCCTCTGGCTAAGTGTTGCAATCCCCTTCCATTTCCTGCTTCTCCTTCTATGAGAATCAGCCAGTTACAATTGCAGGTCTTTCCCGAGGTGCACGGGTTGGGCTAATTAGCCCGCCAGCTGCAGGCCTCTGACCCCAGAGGAATGGTATCACTTATGCCTTCACAGGAAACAAAAGAACATGAGAGATCTATGGCTAGTGGATTTAAGGATCATAAGAAGGAGTTTAAGTATATTATAAACAAAGAGAATCCCAACACTGGTAATGGTCCATTACTGGATGGAAATGATAGAATTATCAATAATAATGCAGAAAAAAGAGACGTGTCCAATAAATATTTCTATTCTGTATTTGGGGAAAAAATGATGTAATCCTATCTTATGATAATGGATGATGAAAGACTTTCTATTCCACTAATATGGTGTGGGTCTGCTGCTCAGTGGAGAAGGTGAATTGGTAATGGAAGATGCTAGGAAGGCAGAGTTGCTCAATGCCTGTTTTGCTTCAGTCTTCTCACAAAAAATAACGTGACTGGATGACTAGCGAAGTTAACATAGACACTAAAGGGTAAGGGATACAGATTGGAATAAGTAAAGAACATGTCAGAGATCTTCTGACCAATTTGAATGAATTCAAATCAGCGGGGCCAGATGCTATTCACCTGAGGGTACTGAAGGATTTCGCTGAAGAAATCTGAGTCAGTGGCAATAATATTTACAAACTCATGGATGACAGGATAGGTCCCAGAAGACTGGAGAAGGGCTAACATAGTGCCCATCTTTAAAAAGGGGGGAAAGGAGGAGGTGGGGAACTATAGATCAGTCAACCTGACTTTGATACCTGGGAAGCAGTGTATAAAACATTCAGTTTGCGAATACCTGGAGGATGAAGGCGTAATCACAAGCAGCCAGCATGGATTTACCAAGAACAAATCATGCCAAACCAGCTTGATTTCCTTCTTTGACAGGGTAACTAATTTAGTGGATATGGGGAATGTGGTGAACATATACCTGGACGTCAACAAGGCTTTAGACACAGTCCCACATGACATTCTGATAAGTAAGCTGGAGAAATGTGGGCTTGGCGGAACTACCATTAAGTGGATACATAATTGGTTAAACAACTGCAAACAAAGAGTCACTATTAATGGAATGATGTTGGTTTGGAGGGAGGTCTCAAGTAGAGTTCCACAGGGATCTGTTCTGGGTCCAGTGTTTAATATCTTTATTAATGACTTGGATGTAGGTATAAAGAGCAAACGGATCAAATTTGCAGATGACACAAGGCTGGGGGGGGTGGGTGTTGCTAATACTTTGGGGGATAGAGCTAAAATTCAGAGGGATCTTGATAAATTGGACAACTGGGGTATAGACAACAAAATGAAATTCAACAAAGACAAATGTAAGGTGCTGCATTTAGGGAAGAAAAGCCAAATGCAAAAATACAGAAAACTGGGTTGGCAGCAGCACTGCTGAGAAGGATCTGGGACTTGTGGTGGATCACAACCTCAATATGAATCAACAATGTGATGATGTTGCAAAAAAGCAAATTCAATTTTAGATTGCATTAACAGAGACATTACTGCTCTATTGGGCGTTGGGTAGGCAGGCCTCAGCTGAGGTACTGTGTCCACTTTTGGTCACCAATGTATAGAAAGGATGTAGAAAAACTGGAAAGGATTCAGAGATGAGCAACAAAGATGATCAAAAGAATGAAATAAGAACATAAGAACGGCCATACTGGATCAGACCAAAGTTCTATCTAGCCCAGTATCCTGTCTTCGGACAGTGGCCAATGCTAGGTGCCCCAGAGGCAATTAACAGAACAGGTAATCATGAAGTGATTCAGTAGCTGTTATCCATTCCCAGCTTCTGGCAAATAGAGGCTAGGGACATTTCAGAGCATGGTTTTGCATCCCTGCCCATCCTGGCAAATAGCCATTGATGGACCTATCCTCCATGATGCAAGCCATATGAGCAAAGGCTGAAGGAACTGGGTATGTTTAGTTTGCAAAAGAGGAGATTAAGGGGGAAATGATAGCAGTGGTCAAATACTTTAAAGGCTGCCATAAAAAAGATAGAGAAAAGTTGTTCTCTTTTGCCATAGAGGGCAGGACGAGAGGCAATTGGTTCAAACTACAGCATAGCAGATTTAGATTAAATCTCAGGGG